AATGATAGAGAATAGATATGTTATATGTATAACATTTCGCGCAGTAAATCATCAGCCAATCAGATTGTGACACATGTAATCTACATTTAAATCACTTGATCAAATCATATTTTCGATGATATCTCGGCTCCCTGTGATTGGATTTGGATGATCTCACCACCTTTAGGTTCGTCTCGATGAGCTGATTCCAATGGAAGTAGATTCATTATGATTGGATCGATGGTTGTGAAGTTATACTTCAAATAGCTTCTTTTCTAATGTCAACAGTAGGATTCTGCAAACGTTGCCACAGTACTCTTTAAACTTAGTGCCAAGTGCAGGGATGGGTAGTACATGATTAGTAGTTTATGTCTGGAACCTGCAGGGCTGTAATACATGCATGCTCAAAAGAAAATGGTAAGCCAAAGCCACGGGACAACAAAATAAAAGGAAACTGTACCATGCACTTGGATGAAAAAAACGATGCGGAAAAAGCGACTTTTAAAAATAGTAAGAGTTTCACAGATAATGAGAATACGCGTAATTCAAACATTAAAAAAAAAAAATACGATTTATTAGTTATAAGTATTATGTAATTAAAATAAAATAAAATAAAAAGGAATAAAAAATGCTACTATCTTACAATTCAAATCCACGAAAAATTATTTCTTAGAAACTTTTATTTTGTTAATACCTTATAAGCACCAACAATAAAAAATTAAATAATGATCAAAAAAAATGCAAACATTCCTTTCCACTCCAAAATTTGATAAACAATATATATAAAGATCCTCAAAACACTTTTCATAAATTTATTAACGCATTCGCCTATTATAAGATGGCTTCATTAGGTTCTCTGTCTCTTGATAAAAAAGTTATATGTGAAGAATGCAATAATGAGTGGAATTTGGTTAAAAAATTTCCTAAAGAAGAAATTGAAGATAAAATATCAAGATATCTAAATACTCCAGTACAATTGCGAGGATGTATAACATATGTTCCAAGTAGACAATCCCAGCTATCATCGTCGTTGTTATCGCCAATACCTGAATTACCAAAATCTGATGAACAAATTCATTACAATGCTGTGGCACAAAAAGCAGCATCTGCTAAAAAAAAAGAATTGGAAAAAGAATTGGATGAATTACAAGTCATGGCAAGAATTACTATTAATCCTGAGTATAATAGAAATTTTTCTTCCAAGATTTCTGATATAAAAAAAGTATTAAAGATCAGGATGTTCGGTTAGAAAATTTAAAAAAACACACGGAAAGTCAAAGAAAATCCCAAGAAAAAAAAAAAAATTACTTGAAGAAGAGCAATTGGTTGTAAGGTATGATTCTCCTAGCCGCCCTCCCTTATTTTTTCAATACCCAGATCTGCATGATCACATACACTCTTGTATCGAATTCGGAGAGGCTGATGCTCATAAGCGGCGTGAACTCATAAAAGTTAGAACCATTAGTCACCTTCGTATTTCATTAGAAGAAAAATACAATGAGTATTTGTCACGTACTATCACAAGAAATTATATTTTGCCCTGAAATAATCGTAACCTTTTAGCAAGAGCTCATCATCATCCAGCTTTAGTTGGAATTGCAGGTAGGGTCATAAATTACCATAATTTGTGTAAGTTTAGTAAATTAGTTTTCATATAATAAATTTTTGTAAAGCTGATATTTTATACATAACACAATGAATTTACATGACTTCTAATTTACTGAAACTTACACAATAGGTGCTTTCAAGCAACAAATTTAGCCCTTCTCCTGAGGAGATATCCATTGTCTGACAATTGTTGGTAGTGCATCTCATAGATTGCTCATAAGTGTTTCATGATCCGTCTTATACTGCACAGAGAACAATTAAAACAATTATAATACATAGAGCAAATACTGTATATATCGAATATATCGATACCAGAGTTGTAAATAAATACCTCTAAAAATAATCAAAAAAGTGTCCCGAAACTAAGTTTAATATTAAGTAAATCTACTTTCAGATTTTAAGTGGGGTCAATACGATTCTAATAATGGTATTAAAAATGGTCTAACAAATTATTCACAATGGCTCTTACATCTAAAATTCGTATAACAATCGTTGCTTGAAATTTAAGGAGCCATTGCGGATATAATTTTATCACCGTTTGATTCGTCTTGACCCGGAAACAACTTTACTTAAAATCTGAAGTAGGTTCACTTAATATTAAACCTAGTCCCGGGATATCTTTTTTTTTCTAGAGGTATTTATTTACAATTCTGGTATCGATATGTTCTCTATGCAGCATGAGATGAACCATGAAACACTCATGAACAATCCATGAGATGCACTGTCAACAATGGTTAGACAATGGATATCCACTCAGGAGAAGAACAAATTTTTTTTGCTTGAAAACACCCCAAAATTACATGTAAAGTAAGATTGGAACTTTCATAACATAACCCTAATTGCAGGAGTTAGCCAGAATGAAAAAAGAGATTACATTGATGGGCACTATTGTTTGGCATCAGTAAAAAATAAAAGAAACTTCGCTTCTGTCTTTGCTGATCAATCTGTTATACTGTTGCAAGACGACAAAGCAAAGGTATCAGTTGGTGTTCCTGCTGTGGGAAGACATTTCGAAACAATGCAAACAGTTCTTGAACCCGTGTCAGTACCTGATCATGATTTTCCAATTGGATCTTCACAAAAATTAATACCGTCTGTCTATTTGTTAATAAATCCAAAGGAAACTGATGAATCGTTGCGAGTTGGTCAAATTGCAATTTTTATTAGAGCATAGTGGCACCTTGGTTCTTCTTCTGCTATGCATATGACAGACATCTTATCATTAGTAGCTAATAAAAGGTTTGGTGGTGTTTTCAGGTATAATGAAGTCAAACCAATATGGGTTCTTCTAGTTGATGGTGGGCTGGACAAAAATTCACAGCATTTCAAAAATATCATTTAATATTGTAAATTATTTCGCCATTTAAATTTAGATTATTTAACAATTCGTACTCACGCTCCGGGCCAATCTGCATATAATCTAGTAGAAAGAAGTATGTCATCACTATCTAGGAAAGTTGCAGAGATCACTTTACCGATTGATCATTTTGGAAGTCACTTGGATTCTCAAGAAAATGTGTGGGACTATAAGCTTGGGCTTCAAAATTTCCGTCATGCTGGCCAAGCCCTTGCCAATTTATGGCTAAGAGACCCTATTTATGGAAAGCCAGTTTTCGCTAAATATATTAACAAACAAATAAATCCTTTTTCAAATATATCAAATTCAATAAACGAAAATGAGTTAAAAAACAAAGAAAATGAGAAAAATAGTAAAAACAATGATAAAACCAATGATAACTTATCTGTGTCATGGTTTTGGATTGAAGGTCATTGTAACATATATCGATATTCCTTAGATATCTGAAAATGTAATAATTTATCATATTGTTCTCCTAAAAGAGCTGAGGAGGCTGCTGCATTATTGAGTGTAAACGATGGGTTTTTGTCTCCATTAATTAAAGGAAAGGATGGTCATTACTTAAACGCAATTCACACTTTAGAATATTTTGATTCCCTTAAAGTACCATCATATGATGCTTACCTTCCATTTTTTTCTTCAGAAGATTATGCTAGACACCGTTGTATTCATTGCAAAAAATATTTTCCAACAATTTCTTTTCTAACAAAGCATTGAAGATTTGCACATCCTAGCACCCGGAGTAGACGATCGGGCAAACAGCCTGAAACTAATTCAGCTATTGTTGAAGACTTCTCTATGCTTTCATCTTCGCTTGGAATAACCGATCACGAATCTATCGCTATTGCTGTTGCTCTTGATTATATCTCGGATTAATGTAGAGTGGTAAGTAATAATTAAAGAATAAAGTTGGCTTAAGAAATATATAAAAATATACTTTTTATTTTCAAAATTGCAGCTTAAGGTCAAGATTGTGAAGAAATAAAAAAAAAAAAAAAGGAAGATCGTAAAGAAATAAAAAAAAAAATAGAAGATCATGAAGAAATAAAAAAAAAATAGAAGATCGTGAAGAAATAAAAAAAAAAAAAAAGATCTGTTTGTTTAAATAATGTGTTAACATTAGCGAATTTTATGTAGTTTAAAAAACATTTTGAATTTTTGCGGTGAGGATAGTTTAAAAAAATATATAAATGCATTTTTGATAAATAAATATTGGGATAGTATGTTAAACAGTCTCGAGACAGAAGCCAGATTGCTATAGTAATAATCATAATAATAATCGATTTAAAAGTTTGTACGTACATAGTACGTACGTATATACGTACGTATGTTCGATTTATTTGTGGCGAAGTACGAATAATTTGATTAATTTGATTGGCTAATCTAAACGATAATATATAGCACCTGATTTTGCTCTTAACCCCTTCCTACCCTAAAAAATCAGGTGATAAATGTCTCTACCCTAATAGGTAGATACTTAATTAGGTATTCAAAAGACACAGATATAGCTAGAATGTACCTTTGTTAATATAACAAAGTCAGGGATAATCCTGTGGCTGTCCTGATATTCTCAACTGAAGTTAATAAAACGTGTCAGACCTCCAAGTGATCACCTTAACATTAAAAAAAATAATAATAATAATTATAAATATTGGTGTCTATATTTCTAATTTTAGTGAAACAGTATGCCAAGACCCTAAAAAACTTAAATATAACTCAGATATTATTAAAAAAAAAAATTTTGTATAGAATTTTATTAAACATTGCATTTTTATATAGTAAATTTTTAAATTTTAGTCTATTTTATATGCTTATTTGACTAATATTATACAAACTCAGATCTGAGTTGTATTAGAGTTCTTCAAGCTTTTAGTATACTGTATATTATATATATATAAATATTTATTATACAGGTCTTATGTAATAACTTGTGCTTTTTTCACTTATTTACAACATGTATTTAAAAAAATAACTATATTAGAACACTTACATATTTTATCAAATATAAAAGTGTTCCAATTTAGTTATTTTATTTTATTAATATTAAATTAATTTATTTTTATATTTTTAAAATTGTTAATAGAGCATTATTAGATTTTTACTGTTTTAAATTGTCATTAAATAGTGTTAGTATTAATTTTTAATTTTTTTTTGAAATGATCATTATATAATTAGTTGGTTTTTTAAATTTATATTAAATAGAATCACACATTTTTAGATTTTAAAATTTCTATCATTTTTTTTAAAATTCTTACTAGACAGAATCTTGTTTTTAGCATTCACTTTAAAAATTTTGTTGGATGAAGTTATATATTATTAATTTTTACTTTTTTTAAATTTTTGTTAAATTAGTTATATATTATTAAATTTTTTTCTTTTATAAGTTTTAATATACTGAATTATTCATTATTAAACTTCTGTTTTTAAAACTATCATTAGGCAGATTATTTATTATTAAGTCTTTGCTTTCTATATTAGGCTATACAAATTTAATTAATTGTTTCTCATAATCTAGCTGAGTCAAATTTTGAAAACTTTTTAAGAAAAATTTTTTATATGTTTTAATAGTCTGGTGGAATTTCAAAAAAAATATTTTAAAAATTTTATAAAATTTTATATATAAAATTTAAAAGAAAAAGCTGGCTAACCAGGTTATTTTTAAAATTTAATGTTATAAAAAACAAAAAATTAATTTTGTATAGCCTTATATTAAATAAAATCATATTATTTTATTTTTATTTTTTATTGAATGAGATTCTTTACATGATTAAAGTTTTTTTTTTAAAAATATTTAGATAAAGTTATATATAATTAAAATTTTGCTTGATTAGATTTAGTTCTTCACTTTTAAAAAAATTCTTATTAAACAGAGCCTTCATAACATCAACATTAAAATTGTCTTTTTATTAATATAAAAGGTATTGCATAAGTTGTTATATCAAACTTGTACAATAATATAGTTACTATATAGAATTGTATAAAATAACTAATTTGCAAGGATCAACCCATTTTACATAGCCTTCAGCTATATGGAACTGGTTAATCTATACAAATTTAGTTATTTTCTACAACTCATACAATAACTATAATATACAAATTATTACTAAAAAATTAATAACTTAATCAAATCAGCCAAAAAATTATTTGCAAATTTTTATTAAATGTTTTAAAATTTATGAAAACAGCTGTAAGTACAATATATATTATCATTATATGGTTTGTTAAAATTACATTTTTGAGGTTTGATTTGTAAATTACAGATTTTTGCTTTGATAAAAATAAAAAAAATATGAATAATCATTAACTAGATTAACTGTTTGGTGAATAAGCAGATCAAATCTCTACTTAAACCTTTTACCTAAATAATATATATAGCATAACAGTTATTTAATATTTAGTTCTTATTAGACCACCAAGTTATTTAAGTAATGTTTTTTTAAATAGTTTAAACACTAAGTCCAAAGTTTGCATATAGTTCAGTTAAAACTGGTATAATTTTTGTGGCTTAGCTCATATGATAAACTAAGCTACAAAAAAACATACCAGATCGGATCAAACTGTTAGCAAACTTCAGACTAAACTTCAATCAGATAAATATATTCAAACTCAAACTAGTTTGCAAACTTCAAACTAGACCCAAACCAAACTCATAATTAAGTTTAAGTTTGGTCTAAAGTTTGAAATTAGTAAAATTTAGAGTTTGAGTTTGGTTTGATCCAGGACCAGACCTAAACTCAGACTAGATCTAGAAACATCACACTCAATAATAAATTTCTGAAATTTCTGATAAAATCCATAATTGCCTAAAATCCAAACTTAAACTAAAATATTTGGAACTGTTCAGAACTATATTAAACATGTAAATTAAATTTAACCAATAATATTTGTTATAGACATGCTTGGATTATAAGTATTGGATTAGTAATATTATTGTATATGGAGTTTATTTAATTAGTGAATAATTTTTCAATGATCACTTGTACCAAACTTCTAGTTAACAAAAACAGAAACTTGTTGAAGAAAAGTAGAAGAAACAACTATATATAATAGTTTTTACAGAAGTTAAGACTTATCTGCTTTTTTTTCAGACTTCTCTATATATTCAGTATACAAGTTAAAAGCATTCTTATACAAGATAACTGGTAATAAGATGGTGTTCTTGTATAAAAATTTTAATAAAAGCACTGATTCTACTGACAAAGTTAAAAATAGCTGGTCTAAAGAAAACAACAAGCAAATTTTTAATACTTTTTTTACCAAAATTTAAGGCTATTCACAAACTGAAACCCTTTTTTATATTCTACTTTTGGCCTTTACAAAATTTCTACAAAAAATAGAAAAAATGATATACTCTTATCAAAAGATCAACAATAACAATCATTATTAAAAAGGAAAGACATATATATATACATGTATTTTAGAATAATAGTATCAAATAATATAATAATATTTAAAATACTGCAGAAGCTTGCTGACTACTTGAAATAGTAATCAAAAATTTTGACCTTGAAGCTTTATTTCAAGACCAGATAGTTTTTAATATTTTTATATTCTAAATATAAATATAAATAACTAGTATAGAGTTTAGTCTAGTTTAAATTTTTTTTTTTGGTGGTTCTGCCTTATGCTTTATTAAAAGTATTAGAAGATCAATATTAATAGGAAATATATTTTTTTATACTATATTCTATTGTGCAAAGATACTCACTCAGCACTAAAGCCCAGATATGACCTGCCTAGCAGCATTATGCTTCATATTAGATCTTTAACTCTCTGAAGATTTGATTTTAACAATTACTAGCTAGAGTAGTTGCATGCTTCATTAAAAAGCCCAACAAAAGAAAAACAAATAGACAAAAAAACACAGAGATATAGGAGTAACAATAAAAGATACAAGCAAGAAAGTAAGAGATAAGAGAAGTATTGAAACAAAAACAAAAAGAATGACTATCCTAATATCATGTTTATAGACCCATAAAAGACCTTAAAAATTATATACTATATTAAATAAATTATATCCCTACTTTAAATTTATCTATTTAATATATCTAAGTTTAAAACACTATTAGATCAACACTTCTTTGACCAGATTAGATAGGGAGGTTGGTACTCGATTCAGATTAGTTTCAGAGCATTGTTTGATCAGCTTTTACATTTGAGGCATGTGCCTTGACATATTTGTTGTTCTATTATACCGATTTAGAAAATAAACAATACCGACTGTTTTGATGTATATGATATTGATCTTTTGGAGAAGATAAACTAAATCAGCTACTTTTTACAAAAATTCCTCAAAAAAAAGTAGTGGGCCAACAAGAGTATGTGAATTTCTTCTTGTAAGTTTTACAGTTGTATAGTTCAGTTCCTCAGTTTCTACTAGATATTCTTGACCAGGGACCTACAGTAACATTGCTCTCAAAATAACTCTTTTGGTTTGGATGCCGAAAATATAAAGGAGTTCACTAAAAAGCTTGATTCAAAGGCATAGTCTGCTTTTTATTATATATTTGCTTCTCAGTGTTTTATATATATAGTAGCTTCATCAACAGCAAGTTTGTTTGTATGGACCAAGAATATTATCATGTCTACTTTGTTGCTTTTCTATACCATTTTTCTGCAGTTTATTTTGTTGTTGATCAAAAGATCATCAGGAAAAGTTGTTTTGTTCTAATATATTTAGTTTAGTTTATTTGTAGTATTATATAATTTTTATAATTCTGTATGAGTTTAATAGTGCTATCTGTGTTTTATTTTGTTTTGTTTTGTTTTTTTTTTTATTATTTGTTTTAATTAGTTTTATTTGTTTAGATGGACCAGAATTTGATGTCAAGATATTTCTTTATTTTTGCTCTGCCCTTTGTATTTATATTTATATT